GTTTGGGGAGGGGGACTCAGGCTTGGAAGAATCCTGTTTTGCAGGGCCTCAGGTGGTGCAGGGGGTGCCCAGGCGTGTGGGGGGCTCCAGGTATGCGGGGGGGGCCCAGGTGTGCAGGGGGGACAAAGGTGTCGCCGCCCAGGGCTCGGCCATGGACCGGATGAAGAAGATCAAGCGGCAGCTGTCGATGACGCTGCGGGGGGGCCGCGCCCCCGAGAAGGGTCTGGGGGACCCCCGCGACGGCCACGGCAGCGACAGCGGTGAGCGCCGGCCCTTTAAGGGGGGCCCCGCCCCCTTTGAGGGAACCCCGCCCCTCTAAAGGGAGGCCTGGCCCTTTAAGAGGGACAGGACAGGGGTTTGGGGTGCCTGGGCCTTTAAGAGCTTTTTTGAGGGGGGGGAGAGACTGAGGGGGTGCTTGGCCCTTTAAGAGAGCGTCTGCCCCTTTAAGACGGCGGGGCAGGGGTTGGAGGTGCCTGGCCCTTTAAGTCACTCCCGGCGGGGCACGGGCCCTTTAAGAGCTCTGGGGTCCCTTCCGTCCTCCCCCTTCACCCCCTTCCGCCGTCCATCTGTCCCCAGGACCCCCTCTTGTCCATCCATCTGTTCCCGTATCCTGTCCCCTGCCCGCCCCCCGGTGTCACCACCTGTCCCCGCCCCCCTGCCTTGTGTCCCCGTGTCACCCCCCCAAACTTGTTCCCCAGGTCCCCCCTGTGCCCCTGTCCCGGGAGGAGGGGACACAGAATTGGGGGCACCTGGGGAGCTTGTGGGAGGGATGGAGGGACCTTTGGGGGCTTTAGGGGGGGTTCGGGAGAGTCCTGGGGACCTTTGGGAGCCCCTTGGGGTTTGAGGGAGTCCTGGGGGTTTGGTGGGGAAGCTCTTGGGATTCAGGGAGATGGGGGTCCCTGAGTGGGGACTTTGGGAGGGCTTGGGGACACAGGGGGATCTCGGGGGGGGGATCCCTTGAATTTGAGGGGGGTTCTGAGCTTTTGGGGGGGTCTCAGGAGGGTTCAGGGATCCCGGGGGGGTTTCGGGGGGCCCTGATGTCCCCCTTGCCCCCCAGAGGCAGGGGGGGAGGAGGGGCGAATGGGATCGGACGGGGAGAGTGACCCCCCCTCGGGGACATCCTCGGAGGAGGTGGCATCGCCCGTGCGCCTGCGCCAGCACCCGCGGCCCAGCGCCTGCGAGGTGGGACTGGGGGGACTGGAGGCACTGGGGGGACTGGGGGCACTGGAGAGCACTGGGGGGATTGGGAGCACTGGAGAACACTGTGGGGCACTGGGGAACTCTAGGGGGACTGGGGACACTGGGGGGACTACACGGGACTGGGAGGCGTTGGAAGCACTGAGGGGAGTACGCGGGACTGGGAGGGACTGGGAGGCACTGGGGGGACTGGGGGGATTGGGAGCACTGGAGAACACTGTGGGGCACTGGGGAACTCTAGGGGGACTGGGGACACTGGGGGGACTACACGGGACTGGGAGGCGTTGGAAGCACTGAGGGGAGTACGCGGGACTGGGAGGGACTGGGAGGCACTGGGGGGACTGGGGGGATTGGGAGCACTGGAGAACACTGTGG